TAGTTTAGACTTTCGCACGAAGCCGGATTTATACTTGAACTTCTTGATGAACAAATATCCTCTAGTTTAGAAAATTTATACTTCACTGGTGAATTAAAATTTTTATGCCTTAAGCAGATTCTTGATTTATATATACAGGAGCACTAGACAATGGGATCAGCGTTATAATGGGTGATCACGGCAACCGAATAGGACTTGTGCAGTATTCATATTCTGGAAGAATCGAGGAGCGCATGCCTTTGATGGCTATCCGTTTACCGCCCAAATTCAAAGAATTACATCCAAAGGAATATTTCAATTTTATGGCAAACAAGTGGAAGTTGACAAGGTGAATTAAATTTTGACTGATCTTACTCCTATGATTGACTTAATCTCGCGCTAAATTAAAACATTCTATCTTACCTTCCTTTAATTTTTTCTTTTTCCGCAGTCATCGTTCTTTCAGCAATTTCGATATTCATCAAACTTTGAAGGATATAGCTCTCATGAAATTTGGCAGCTCAAGAAGATCCGTGACGCAAAATTATGGTCGAGGGATTAGCCTTTTTGATGAGATCCCTGACAATAGGTACGTATGAAAAAAATAGTCTCCACATTCGCAACTGGAATTTCGACTTACTGTACATATCAAAATTACTGCAGGACTTGTTTTGATGCCTATATTCCTGAGAACTTTTGCACTTGTTTGATAAATCGTTCAAATCTTGTGCCTGAAACTGAGAGAGCTGCAAAGCAAGAGGTACTTTTATTTCTAAACTATGTAATAAAAGGAGCAATAAACATGTTTCAGAAAATTCTATCAGCTATTATTTCATTTCTCGGAAACAAAGAGCTTGGTGACTGTTTCAGGCTTGAAAAAGTAGGCGTCTTTCTTTCGCAGTCCTACTATTTGATGCATCCTTAACTTAGATCGCGATAGTAGATAATGCTACCGTACTTGGTTTGAATCCATTAGCAAGGTATGGATTCCGCAAAAAGGACAGTGCTGCACATATGGAAGAAGCTAGGAAAAAGGACCCAAAAATGGATGTGAGTGGACTACCTCATTTTCAATTTTGAGAGCGGTAGTTACAGCCGGCATAAGCTGGTAGTTACATTATGTTTGTACCACATCCGTTTAGTTCTTGAAGCCTCGACCTTCGCAATTTTTGACAGTGAAAAGACTAATAAGATTGACCAAACCTCCTGACTGTTTCTCACACACTTGATATTATGAAGAATACTAAAAAGGCTTTTACACAACACCCGTTACCAGAGCCAAAAGCGGAGTATGGC